TCACTCTCTCTCTCTCTCACTCTGCACCTTTCACATAAATTTAAAAAAAGAAAAGAAACAGACCCAAATAGGAACAAAAAGGTGGAAAGAACAGGACTTTAGAACGAGGAGGTCTGGTTGTGAGTCCTGTTTGCTGCCTGTACAGAGCAGGCCAGTCCTCTGGAGGTGATGTGTGGGACCCCCTTCCCAGGCCGCCTGGCTCTGAGTAGACCTTCAGTGTGCCATGTGTCTCAGTTGGGTGCAGATTCCCAGACTTGACCCACACTGTAGGAACATCAGGACGGGCCCAACGTTTGTGTGTTTGGAAGGAGAACCATGGCTACTTTGTGGGCTCCAGGCCTTCACACAAGAGCAGAACATGGAGCAAAATGTGACCTTGCACAAGAAGCGTGTCCTGGCCCAGCTTTAGTGGAATGTCTTAGAAACCTGCTGGACAGTGGCCTTCTGGGCCCAGGGTGAGAACGGAGCGGTGGGCCTCAGCCTGGAAACGTGCACGTTGCTCATGACACGGAATCCCTCCTGCAGCCCCTTGCAGACAGCCTGCACGGGCTGAGTGTGCTGTGGCAGGGGAATAGACGGTTTTCCCTGAAATGCTGCGTAGCATCAGTGTTTATGGAAGAAAGAACATTCTTTCATTCCTCAGTCCACTTGGGCAGTTTGTATTCCTTTTGGGTTGTGTTTCAGTGTGGTGGTAGGAAGGCAGAGTTGTGTTAACATGAATTTCATCAGGATTCTGGTTGGCCTGAAGGGTCCTTTGCTTTCTCACCATATCTTTCAGCCTGCCACAGAGGCGACGTGGGCCTTTATAAATCCAGCTTTTTTTTTTTTTTTTTTTTTTTTTTTTGACAGGCAGAGTGGACAGTGAGAGAGAGAGACAGAGAGAAAGGTCTTCCTTTGCCGTTTGGTTCATCTCCAATGGCCGCCGCAGCCGGCGCGCTGCGGCCGGCGCACTGCGCTGATCCGATGGCAGGAGCCAGGAGCCAGGTGCTTTTCCTGGTCTCCCATGGGGTGCAGGGCCCAAGCACCTGGGCCATCCTCCACTGCACTCCCTGGCCACAGCAGAGGGCTGGCCTGGAAGAGGGGCAACCGGGACAGAATCTGGTGCCCCGACCGGGACTAGAACCCGGTGTGCCGGCGCCACTAGGCGGAGGATTAGCCTAGTGAGCCGCGGCGCTGGCCTAAATCCAGCATTTTAACTGTGGCTCTGTCCCAGAGTAACTGAGCAAACTACCTCTGTTCCCAAACGCCATTGTCTGTACTATAAGGCTGGGTAACCAAGTAAAATTTAAACTCCTAGCACTTCTGGATCCAGTAAAGAATGACGTTCATCTGGCCTTGTAACTGCTTGGGCTGGACAGGGGCCCAGATGGTAAAACTATTATTGGCATAGATTTCTGTTCTCCTTTTGATCTGGAAAATTCCAAAAGATCTTACAAAATGCTCAAGTGCGGCGGCAAGAGCATTACTGTGGTACACATCCGCGTCAGCAGGACAGCAGGAGAAACCCATGCTCAGCTCCCTTGTGGTGCCTTTGCAATGGGTCAGTGCTCCCCAAGGAATCAAGCTTGGAGGGCACAGGTAAGGGCCGCAGAACTGGGCTTGCCAAGGAGGCGCCAGGCCCTCCACCTGTGAGGTAGCCTCCCTTGTGTTGACAGGCTTGCACCAGGGGCCCTGGGAGAGCCCACCAGACCCTGGCCCCGATGATGCCGCATCCCCATACCACCTCGTCCACCTAGTCCACCTCGGCTGGGAGTTCTGTGCCAGGTAAGGTAGTGCACTGGCTGGGGCTGCCCTAGCCCTTACCCGTGGGGAGGTGTGGGAACTGAATCCCGCCTTGTCAGCTGCTGGTGCTCTCTCCTGGTAGCCCTTCAGCCACGGCTGGGACGTGGGTCTCGTCTACTCACTTACATGGGGTCACCACCCCGTTCCTGGCCTGATGGGAATTCAGTGAACAAATGAAAGGAAGGAGCTGGGTGTGTCAGGAATTGAGGTCCTGAAGCAGATGGTCTCCACCAGGGCAGAGCTGGGTCCCGGGGCCATGAGGAAGACAGGCAGCAGGCGCCTGGCATCTCTAGGTGGGTCAGCCCACTGTGGTTGGTTTGTTTTGGGGTTTTGTTTTTTTAAGATTTATTTTATTTATTTGAAAGGCAGTTTTAGAATTCTTTCCATCTGCTGATTAACCCCCCAAATGGCTACAATGGCCAGGACTGGGCCAAGGCAAAGGCAGGAGCCAGGAGCTTTTCCAGGTCTCCTACGTAGGTGCAGGGACCCTAGCACTCGGCCATCCTCTGCTTGCTTTCCCAGGCTTTGGCAGGGAGCTGGATCAGAGTGGAGCAGCCGGGACGTGAACTGGCCATGGGATGTTGGTGCTGCCGGCGGCGGCTTGTACCCTCTACACACAACACCGGCCCCAACCCTGCAGTGTTTTACCTCTGGTAAATTTCATTTCATTGTTCTCTTGAAAGAGCTGCAGGGTTTTACTACGACCCTGAAAAGAACCGCTACTTCCGCCTGCTCCCAGGACATAACAATTGACAACCCCCTCACAATGGAGGGCATCCGCCAGAAGAAAATGGCGAGCAGACGGCTGCAGCTGCTCAGGAAGACGACAAGCACGGAAAAGGTGGGCTCTGCACTGGCCGCCGCTCCCCTGCCCTGCCAGTCCCATCTGTGTGCTTAGTGCAGGTGCTCAGGGAGTGTGGCCCAGAGTCTCCCCAGCAGGAAGACGATGGAGAGATGAAAGCGGCACAGAAGGCTCCTGCCCTACCCCCACCCCTCCTCCTGTGTGCTGGGTTCCAGCAGCAGCTCTGCCACTTGTCCTTCCCCACGGGAACCCTGGCAGGCAGCAGTGGGTAGTACAGTGATGCCGGCTAGTAGACCAGGTGTGTGATAACCTGGGCAGTAGCAGGGGTAGTACAGTGATGCCTGCTTGTAGACCAGGTGTGTGATAACCTGGCAGCGTAGCAGGGGGTAGTACAGTGATGCCTGACTAGTAGACCAGGTGTGTGATAACCCTGGCAGAGTAGCAGGGGGTAGTACAGTGATGCCATGCTAGTAGACCGGTGTGTGATAACCCTGGGAGTAGCATGGGGTAGTGGCAGTGATGCCTGCTAGTAGACCAGGTGTGTGATAACCCTGGGAGTAGCATGGGGTAGTACAGTGATGCCTGCTAGTAGACCAGGTGTGTGATAACCCTGGGTGTAGCAGGGGGTAGTACAGTGATGCCTGCTAGTAGACCAGGTGTGTGATAACCCTGGAGTAGCATGGGGTAGTGGCAGTGATGCCTGCTAGTGGAACCAGGTGTGTGATAACCCTGGGAGTAGCTGGGGTAGTACAGTGATGCCTGCTAGTAGACCAGGTGTGTGACTGGCATGCCAGGTCACCATGCTGGTTGTGGCAGCTGGATGGAGCATGTGCTCTGGGGGTGGCTGCGGTGTGGATGAAGCAAGAACACAACACAGCCCCGAGTGTCCAGTGGTAGTGGCATCATCTTCCCAGCACAAATCCCTGGGAGGCTTGGACAGCGGTGCAGAGCAGGTTCCGCCCCTTGTGTGCCTTCCCAGGCTGGGACTTTGTGCCCAAGGAGACTTACAGAGCACGCTTTGCTAGATGTTGGGCCTGTAATTCCTGAGAGTAGCACCTGTTTCCTTCATCATACCCTATGGAATGAAACATCTCCGTTAATCCCATAACCTAAATAAATCCTCATTGAATTTCTTTTTTCTTTAATCTTAGAAAGTACCAGAAAGGGATTCAATACATCTTCCTTCCTACAAAAACGCCAGCTGGGTTTTCTCAGTGTCACCAGTTACTGCCGGTAAGACAATGCCTCACTGTTAGTTTTCTTCATGAATGTTCTTTCCCGTCCCGTCTCTTACTTCCACGGTCCAGGATCGCACCCGGACCAGGCACATCCACGGGGACTGACTGCTCCACCAGGTGTCCGCATAGCTGGGGCTCCAAGTGGCAGCCTGCCTTCTGCTTCCCTGGCCCTGGGAACTTGGGGGGCGGGGCAGGGGGAGCCGGAAACACCAATGTTTACTGTTCCTGGTGATCAGTGGTGGAGGCCCTCCAGCTCCTCCTCCAGGGACATTCAGTGCGAGTGCAAGTGCTAAACCTGATCATACGGTTGTGATGTCTGGTACGATTCTAAATAAAACCCCGTGGGGTGGGTGACACTTCCCCTGTTATTAGAGGCCGTGGCTCACGGTGGAGCGACTTGCTCGAGATGAATCCCTCAGGTGGGCTCTGCGAGACGCCAGCAACCTGAGCTGCTGAGGCCTGCAGTCTGCTGCCTCCCACCTGTGTGGGAAGTGGCTTCCCAGGCTCAGCCCTCCGCGGGGACCAGCGCCACCCGGAGTGGCAGGCCAGGCACTGCGTGTCCCTCCTGTGAGGGAGTCTTGCTCAGCTCCGCTCTGAGAAGCACTGTGGAGAGGCGGCGTCGGGGCTGGGAAGGGGACACAAGCCCCTGCGCCGGCTGGGCGGGGTCTAGCTGCGGCCTGTCTCTCTGCAGTTTGGCCCACGAGCTGCGACTGAGCTGCATGCAGAGGAAGAAGGTCCACATCCGCCAGCTCGGATCCCTCTGCTTTGGCGAGCGACCGCTTTAACCTCATCCTGGTGAGTGCGAGGGGCTGTGTGGATACCAGCATGTGGCTCCGTCCCCGGGGCACCTTGTGGCCTAGCACTGGTAGAAAGCCTGGCTGTGCCGAAGCTGGTTGCAGTGGAAGCTAGCAAAGCTGGCTCGTGGTTTTGTGATTATAACCCACTTAACCCTGGGGGAAGATGCCTGCTGTGTCCAGCACCACTCCCACCTCATTCGACCTTGGAGTAGGCCTGGCTGCACGCTGAGGAAGAGCCATTACCAGAGAACTGCTTGTTTGTGTCACGTACAGAACTGAAAAGGCACCGGTAGCCCGAGGACTTGTAACCCTTCCTTCTCCAGAGCAGGGTTTGGTGGCCGAGCCTGAGGCTCGTGTGCCCTCAGGAGGAACAGGGTCTGCCTCCCTGGCTTTCTGACCCCAGCCTGGGTGGCAGGGGCCTGCCTGTCTGCTTACCTCCCTCACAGCATTTGCAGGGAGCTCAGAGTCTGCTTTTGGTTAGATCTGGGCTGCAGGAGCCCCGGGCGAGGGAAGTGTAGGCAGAGAGCTAGGAGGTCCACTACAAGGGAGGGGAGCCTCGTCTGCGCATGGACCCATGAGGACCCGGGCAGCCTGGCAGGCCCGTCCTGGAGGCCGAGGGAAAGGCTAGGGCGAGTGAGAAGGACACAAAATTCTACGGTGCTCTGCTGGCGGGACTGCAGCTAACGCCAGGGCCAGCCCTGGAGCTTGGTGCTGGGTCCTTTTGCCCCAGGAGACCACCACATCAGAGCCTTCCCTGTGCAGTGCTGCACCAGGGCCCAGGCTCTCTGCTGCGGCCTTGCCCTCTGTTTGGGGCATAGAGTTTGACATGAGTTGGTAGTATACTTTCTTTTTAAAGATTGATTGATTGATTTGAAAGTCATAATTACACACAGAGAGAAGGAGATGCAGAGAAAGAGAGAAAGGTCTTCCATCCGTTGGTTCACTCCGCTATTGGCCACAACGGCCAGAGCTGTGCTGATCTGAAGCCAGGAGCCAGGAGCTTCCTCCAAGTCTCCCATGCAGGTGCAGGGGCCCAAGGACTTGGGCCATCCTCTACTGCTTCCGCAGGCCATAACAGATAGCTGGATCGGAAGTGGAGCCACCAGGTCTCAACCAGCGCCCATATGGGATGTCGGCATTGCAGGCAGAGGCTTTACCTGCTGTGCCACAGCGCTGGCCCCCAGTAGTTTATTTTCTCATAGTGGATTCCCCTCCAGAGCTCCTTCTCCAGGGCACACCAGGTAGGAACCAGGGAAGTTGGTATATGGGGTCTAATGATGCTTGTGCTGCTCATTTAAGCCTGAGCCCCAGTCCTCATGCTTGTCTCACTTTGAAAGCTGTGTGGGGCCCTTGGCAGATCCTCCCCAGCACCCAACAGTGCAGTAGACGGGCTGGCTGGTGGGACCAGAGGGCTGGGAAAGGCAGCTTGCCACCCGGAAAGCAGTGTTGAGACTGGGTTCTCCACACTGGTAGTGACACTTCAGGAACACAGCTGTTCTTCCCAAGTCATTTTGTAGTCAGTACAGTTTTACCAGCATCCAAACCCATGCATATGTCTCCGTGTTAATATGTTTAAAATACATAAGCATGTAGTTTTTGCTTTGAAGTCATTTTAACTACTTTTTAAATTTTATTTACTTGATCAAGAGACCAAGAGAGACAGGTAAACAGAGAAAGCTCTCATCAGCTACTTCACCACCCAGATGCCTGCAGTGGCCAGTTCCAGGCCAGGTCAAAGCCAGAAGCTGGGGGTTCAGTCCAGGTCTCCCAGGTCACCAAGCTAATTCAATCATCACCTGCTGCCTCCTGGGGTGTGCATTAGCAGGAAGCTGGAACCAAGAGCCATGGCTGGGATTGGAACCCAGGCAAAAAGTCTTAAAAGTAGTCCCACCCCTAATGCAGCCTGCTCTGTCTACTTCCTAGTCAGTGCACTGTTTCTTTCTCCTGTGGCAGTCTTGCTGCCTGTGGTGCAGGAAGACAGGTCTGTGTCCTCCTGTCTTAGCAGTTACCACTAGCCTCCTCCCTATTGCTGCATCACTTTCGTGATGGCCTCGTGGTGCATTCCTCCGGGCTGATACTGAGACTTCCAAACCCAGTTCTGAGGGAGGGGTCACTGCAGAACTCACCCTTCCTGGCTAAGCCCCCTCTGTGTTGTCCTCGTTCCTACTCCCGAGTTGGTAGACCCGAGACACCTGTTAGCTTTGCTCAGGGATGGCTCCATTCTTCCAAGTGAACACAAGTTCTCACCTGTGGAAAGTACACAGAGCGTGGGAGAGGGGCCAGGTAGTCTGTGGCAACCTTGCTGGCTCAAACCTGGCAGGTCATCCGTGCCCACTTCCCCCTCCAGGCGGATACCAATAGTAGCCGGCTCTTCACTGTTAATGACGTCAGAGTCGGAGGCTCCAAGTATGGCATCATCAGCCTGCGCGGTCTGAAGATGCCCACGCTGCAGGTGCACATGCACGAAAACCTCTACTTCACCAACCGTAAGGTGCGTCGTCCCCTCTGTAGCCCTGAGCCCACTGTGCCTTTTCATCCAGGACACTGCAGAGAGAGAGGGGAGAGGAGCATGTGTGCTCTTGTGGGGCAAAAGGATTTTTACCTCTGAGAGCCCATGTGGGGTGGGGGTGAGGACCCTAGGGTGTTTCTTGTTTTGGAAGACAAGATAATGGAGAGAGTTGGGCTGGGCTGAGCCAGTGCTGCTTTAGCCAGGTGAAAGGACGCTCCCTCCAAGGCTCAGGAGTTCATCCAGAGGCCCCTACCAGGGCTCGGGGTCCTGGGCCGCACTGACCGTGGCCTGATGGAGCAGTCAGCTCCTGGGCATCAGGACATCAGTGGGCCTGTGGCCAGCGCAGCTGTAAAGCAATGGCAGAAGCTCGCTGTCACAGGAGCAACGTTTCAGTTGCCCCAGGATGATTGCTGCATCCAGAAGCTGCGTCCTTCAGGGCACCTGGGTCGTGAGCCGCAGCATAGACCAGACGAACTGATCCCTTGTTTTCCTTTTGATTAGATCTCCTGTCTGAACTAGGTACTGCTAGGGTGAACATAATTATTATTAATGTCAGAGTTTCCCAAGAGGTGGGGGAAGTGAAGTGAGAGAAAGCCAGCCACAAACACTGAAGATGGTGATGGTTATAGGTTGGGAGAGAGCGAGTCTCTGAGGCCCAAGTGTCAACCCTGGCAGTACTGACTCCAAGTGGAAGTGCAGTGCCTGGGACTGCTAGAATGGCCCGTAAAGTTCTCCCTGCTGATTGAAGGGGTCTCCTCATTGTCAGGGTTCTTTTTCCTTTTGGTAGAGTTCAGGGAGGTTTGGTGTATATGTATCCATTGTAAGTCTGAAATTTTTTAATAAATTTTTCTTTAAAGAGAGATGGATGTCAGTTGAGTGGTGTCTGAGTGAAGGAGGAAGCTTCGTCCCTGCCGGTGTGGAGGATTCAGCTGGGTCCACAGGGGCTACCAGATGCCTCACTGTGGGGCCCTTGCCAGTGACCTCCCTGACTAGCAGGGCAAGGAGATCGGCCCATTTTAAGAGCAGTGAGGCCCGAAGAAAAAGGGTGCATGTGTGTCTCCCCCAGGCCATTTCCTAGGCATTTTCCTGTTTCTCTCCATCCTGCCATGTGCTTCCTCACCAGGTGAACTCCGTGTGCTGGGCCTCGCTCAATCACCTGGATTCCCACATCCTGTATCCTTTGGCAGATGGAGATGGGCGGGGGGCAGCCATGCCTTAGTGTGGACCTGAGCATCCTGCCCTTGTGAGATAGCCTCTTGGTGGCGGGGGCCGGGCCATTCCGCACTGGTTGTCACCCTCCAGTGTCACCCTCTGCGGGTCAGAGCCGATCCTGCAGCACAGCGAAGCCGTCGAGGCTCCGTGGGTGGTGGCTGTCTCTTAGGATGATGCTAATGCCTCTGAGTGCCAAACGTTGTTCTGAAACTTCACATGCAAGTGGTAGAGACAGGGTGAGGACCCAGGCAGTCTGGCCCCTGAGCCTTCTCTGCCACTATAGCATGTGGCATCAGGCCTTGGGTCTCTGGACGGGCCCAGCACCCACACCTGTGAATTGGTGCTTTAGCAGAGAGAGACGGCAGAAGGGAGCAGTACAGCCTTGGGATGGAGCCCCGAATCCTCCTAAGGCCAAGGGGGAAAGCACTGTGGGCCCCAGCGCTGAGGCTCCTTCCAGCAATTGATGGCCTTCTGAGAGCTCGCCTTACCTCCCTCGTTCAAGGTGGGCATGGGGGAGGTTGCCAGGAGCACAGTACTGTGGGGAATGGGCCTGTCCTCTGGAACTCTGAGGGGCTCCTTTGCTGCACAGGATTTGTTTGATCTAAAAGCCAAAGCCACGTGTACGTGGCTCTTGTCCTTAGCCCATTCCCGTAATAAATGAGTTCGGGAAACTGCACTGAACGCTGACCGCCTGCATTGCCTGAGTTTACCATTAGTTAACTGTGAACGTGCTTCCCTCAGTTGCTAGTACACAGATGACGGCTGAGTCAGAAACGTTTCACTTGCTTCACAGCACTCCGTTTCAGAGGGTTTGAAAGCCTGAGGTACATTAGTGATGTGGTCATGCACTTCATTTAAGGGGACAGGTAGACACCCCTGACCCACAGCAGTGCCTGGGTTTGATGCCCAGCTCTGGTCTGGTTTCTGGCTCCAGTTCCTATTAACGCAGAACCTAGGATGCAGGGGTGATGGCTCAAGTAATTGGGTTCCTGCCACCCATGTGGGGAAGACCTAGACTGAGTTCCTAGCTTCTGGCTTCACCTGGCCCAACCGTAGCCATGGCAAGCATTTGGTGACAGGAGAAGGTCCAACAATAGAACTCTGGGAGGGAGGCAGGCTGGAAGTCGGGGGCATGTGCGGTTGGAAACAGGCAACACGGCCACAGGGCACAGCTGAAACATGGACCTCAGTCGTGACTGTGAGAAGCAGCCACTGGGCTGAACAGTGAAAGAAAGGTGAGGAAGTGGGGCTGAGCACAGGCCCCTCTGGAGAGAAGCTCAGTGGGGAAGGGAAAGGGAGAGGAATCAAACCAGGAACAGGTAGGCAAGGGTGTAAAGAGGGAATTCAAAGAGAAGAAACCCCAAGTGATTTCATCGTTGCAGTAGGTACACCTGCTTGTAGTCAGGGGAATCCAAATTCAGTCTTGAGATGTTAATTTTTTTAGGATTTCCTGTTGAAAGGCAGAGAGACAGATCTTTCGTCCATTGGCTCACTCCCCTAAATGCCCACAGCAACCGGGGCTGGGCCAGGCTAAGCCAGGAGTCTGGAATTCCGTTCAGGTCTCCCACATGGGTGGCAGGGACCCAAGTCCTGTAGCTGTCACCTGCTGCTTCCTAGGGTGCTCATCAGGAAGCTGGAATGGAAAGCAGAACCGAACATGAACTCGGGGTACTCTGGTAGGGGACATGGGTATCTAAAGCTGCAGATAACCTGTGTGCCAAGTGCCTGCCTCTGCCATGTCGTTTTATAACCCCTCACGATAAGCAAAAATTGGGGGCTGCCATTGAGGTGCAGCAGGTGAAGCTTTTGCCTGCAACATGGCACCCCATGTGGGCACCAGTTCATGTCCTGGCTGCTCCACTTCCAAGCCAGCTCCCTGCAAACTTCCTGGATCAGGCAGCAGAAGATGATCCAAGTGGTGCCTGGGTCTCTGCCACCCATGTGAGAAACCCGGATGCAGCGCCTGGCTTCAGCCAGGCACAGCCATGGTTCCTGGCTATCTGGGGAGTGAACCATTGGATGGAAGATTCTCTCTCTCTCTCTCTCTCTCGTTATGTCTTGCAGATCTTTTTTTTTTTTTTTTTTCCAAAGATAAGCAAACTTTAAGGGCGAGGTGGAAAACCAAGAAAGCTGCTGGTGTAAGTAATCACATACAAACACTTCGAAGCTGCAGGTGTCCATCTCTGTGGCCCTGGAATTCCACCCTTGCTGTAGACACCGGGGCAGCATTTTCGGGCTGAGGTCGTAACTCATCAGTGAGCCATGAAGTCGATTTTGGGGGCTGCATTTTGTTTCATGAACCAGACTAGGAAATAGTATTTGTATTTGTATTTATTGTTTAAAGATGTACTTATTTGAAAGAGTTACAGAGAGAAGGGGTCCTGCATCTGCTGGTTCGGTCCCCAGAGGAGAGTTGCATGTTTAGGGTCAGGGCAGAGGTCGTGTGGAACATTTGCCTCATGGATTTGGGTGCGTGCTTATGTGAAACGCAGGCTGTGGGTAGAGAGCCGCTGCCTTAGAGAGCTCCAGCACGTGGCGGGGAGACAGGGAGCAGAGCCCAGGTGCCGTCAGCCAGATGTTAGATGTGTCGTCGTATACTCCTAGAAGGAGTCCCGTGATGGCAAGGAGTGACCTGGAGCCACATGCAGAGCCCAGGAAGTTGGAGAAGACTTCATGCTGCCTTTTCTCTGTTTTAAAAACAAGGTGGATGAAAGACCTACATCTGTCTCCATCTGTCTCCCCTCCCTCCCTTCCTCTCTCTGTCTCATTCTTTCTCTCTCTGTAACTCTGCCTTTCAAATAAATAAAGTAAATCCCGAGTTACTGATGGCCAGGCACCCTCTGTGGAGGAAGTGTCGTGACGTGGCCCAGAAGAACTTGGCCTGTTCTTAGAGCACCAGTTCTGTCTGGGTGGAGGAGAAGGCAGAACTGGACCGGGAAGGGCCAGAGACCTTGTAACTGAGCCGTGGTGTTCTGAGTGTGCGAGCTGCAGGCGAGGTCCATCTGGGTGCAGGGTGTCTGTCTTCTGTCCTTTTGTGAGTTTGTCATTTCCTGAAGGGTCCCCGAGCCCGCTCTCCCCCCTGGGGAAAGCCTTGCACCTGACTGTCCTTAACACCTCCGTCCAGGCTCTGCCTCATGGGGCTTGCGGAGACTCCGGGCTGTGCCACGCTACTCCCGGCATCACTGTTTGTCAGCAGTCACCCAGGTACGGGGCCCTTTGCTCTGACAAAAGCCGCTGCTCTGGGGGAGGCGCCTGGCTGCATGAGCACAGCTGCAAGGGAGGGGACAGGGCCGCCGTGCAGAGGCCCTGGGGGAGGGCTCCCTAAGCCTGCCCCAGGCTGGGCGCCAGGAGCTGTTCGGTGCCCCCTCCTCTTACCCCTGTTGGGTCATTGTAGCAACCAGAACACAGCAAAGTGTGTGTGTGTGTGTGTGTGTGTGTGTGTGTGTGTGTGTGTGAGAGAGAGAGAGAGAGAGAGAGAGAGAGAGAGAATCCATCAACACAGAGATCACAGAGCGTTGATCTGGGCTCCCTGCACTGGCCATTCAGAAGCCCGCTATTGAACGGCTGTAATGACGGGCACTCTGACTACTTCCGGGCAGCATTGTGGGTGTGAAGCTTCCAGCCTTTTGGAGGATGGGGATCAGTAAGACAAGAGTCAGCCTCTGGGAGTGCAGGCCACAGGCAGACCTGGCCCCTGGCCCGGCCCTTCCCAGCCTCTGTGGGCCCTCAGCGCAGTGCCCGGCAGGCCACTGCGGGGAGAGCGGAGGGCGGGTGTCCTGTGACCCTTGTGCAGACAAGGACCCTGGGGCAAAGCCAGGCTCAGAATTTGCCTCGCAGATCGTTAGTGTGAGGAGGAAACCAGCGGATGGGAGACCTTTCTCTCTGCACGCCACCGGGAGGTGTGCGCAGGCAGGAACTGGGAAAGCTGAGGGGGGGAGGGAGGCTTCTGGCGCCAGTGACAGCTCCCTGAACTCTGCACTTGACACGAAAGTTTATTTTTGTTGTTGTTTTTTTCTTTATTTATTTGAAAGGCAGAGTTACAGAGAGGCAGAGAGAGAGGTCTTCCATCCAGTGGTTCCCTCCCCACATGGCCACAATGGCCAGAGCTGGGCTGATCCGAAGCCAGGAGCCAGGAGCTTCTGGGTCTCCCACGTGGGTGCAGGGGCCCAAGGACTGGGCTGTCTTCCTCTGCTTTCCCAGGCCATAGCAGAGAGCTGGATCGGAAGTGGAGCAGCCGGCACTGGGACCAGCAGCTGTATGGGATACCAGCACGGCAGGCAGCGGCTTCACCCCCTATGCCAGAGCACTGACCCCAAAAGTTTATTTTTAAAAACTTTGACTGAGCTCGCACGGCTGGTGGTGTGGTTCATGACTGGCAGTCAGCTCACCTGTGACTCTGGCTGCCTCCCTGACGGCTGACAGTATCGTCACTACAGGGCAGGGTATACAGTAGAGGCTTATTTTATGGGACTGCAGAGGCTGAGAGGTCAGGGGCACGGCCCTGTCATGTCGTCAGTGCCTAATTGCTCTAATGCACCGTAGCACAGGGCAGCTCGTGCCGAGACAGCAGGCACTCTGGCTGAGGTCTCACAGGACCACTGATGCCCTCGTAGGGACAGACAGGTCACTGGCCTGGCGGCCCAGGGACAGCCTGCTTTGTTTCTCTCGGCAGGGGAGCGGCCTGGCATGCTGTGCAGTTTCCGCATCCCTGGCGCTTGGTCCTGCGCGTGGTCCCTGAACATCCAGGCAAACAACTGCTTCAGTACCGGTGAGCCGCGGCTGCTGCCGGGCCCTGAGGTCCACCCAGCGGCCCTCTCCTTGGTCTCACTGACCCAGCTCTGTCTCCACCAGGCTTGTCTCGGCGGGTCCTGCTGACCAACGTGGTGACGGGGCACCGGCAGTCGTACGGAACCAACAGTGACGTCCTGGCGCAGCAGTTTGCTCTCCTGGTGGTTGGGTGGGGCAGGAGGTCGCAGTTCCCTGGGACTTGGTGGCCTCTCTCACCGGGGAGAAGGAACGCTGGAGAGGATCAGTGCGTTGCTTCCTGACTCCCACTGAGCTGAGTGGAAGTGGTGGCCTCCTAAGCTGGCTTTCTAGAACTTCCCGTTTAAGTCTGTAGTGGGCCGTTGTTGAGTACTTGGATTGGCCAGCAGGACTAGTTCCAAAATGTATAAATTAAGTTCCAGTTCACAACACTTCACAGTTTCGTGTGTAGCTTTCAGGTTGTACATTTTATATGTTCAAAAGTCAAAGTTACAGTAGCTGTATCTCCAAGATGCACCCTGCAGTGAGCGTGGCCATCCCTGGAAGGCGTGGGGGAGGGAGGGTGCTGGCCTGCTTTGGGCAGGAAGCAGGGAGTCCCTCAGTCGGGCCATCTTAGCCAACCCATCCCCCCTCTAACTGGGACCCTGATCTCACCCACTGCGTGCTCACTGCCCCCTGCTGGAGACAAGCTGCGGCGTTTGGGCTTCCGAGAGGGGCCTCACGGCAGCGGGAGCCGCTTCTCAGGCCTGTGTGCTGCCAGCAAGGAAGTGCTGGGGGCCACGCGGCTCCAGTCCTCCCACCACCCTGCCACAAAGAGTCAGCTTCCTTCCGAGTCCATTGAGAACCAAACCGCCCATCTCCACGGCCGCCTGACCGAGGGGAGGAGAGTACCGGCAGGCCCAGGCAGTCCCTCTTCCCACAGGCTCCCGTGCTCTACAATGGCTGTCGTTCCGGGGAGGTGTTTGGCATTGATGTGCGATGTCCTGGTCAAGGCAGTGGCTGGAAGGCCACCCGTCTGTTCCACGACTCGGCCGTGACCTCAGTGCAGATCCTCCAGGAAGAGCAGTGCCTGATGGCGTCAGACATGGCTGGAAAGGTAAGGGACACCAGCTCTCCAGCCATGGCCACATGGGACCCAAAACACAGGCCAGGCAAGACTGTCTAGGGAGCGCCTTCACTGTCCACTTGAGCCCAGTGTGGCTGAAGAAGTGGACGTGGCCCTCCAGTTCCGTGCTTTGGATGGACTCCAACGTGCAGGTCTCCATCCCCTGAAGAGGCCACCGGAGGCCCCTTGGCTTCCCTGGCTTCACAGCTGGGCTGCACCAGTACACCTGCCAGCCCGCTCACTGCCTCCGGTGCTTCCCCCGCAGATCAAGCTGTGGGACCTGAGGACCACCAAGTGTCTGAGGGAGTACAAAGGCCATGTGAACGAGTATGCCTACCTGCCCCTGCACGTGCATGAGGAGGAGGAAATCGTGGTGGCAGGTACTCGGGCCAGGGGAGGCTCCACCCCCGCACGTGCTGGCTCCCAGGGCCCAGCAACCTCAGCAGCAGAGGGAGAAGTCACCCTAAGCCAGAGCTGAGTAAAGGCGGAGTGTGGACGGTTGAGTGGGGAGACGCGGGATGTGGAATTGGAGGCAACAGGGGCCAGTGCTGTGGCGTGTCGGGTAAAGCCTCCACCCGCAGTGCCGGCATCCCATGTGGCCAGCAATTCGAGACCTGGCCGCTCCACTTCGATCCAGCTCTCTGCTATGGCCTGGGAAAACAGTGGAAGATGGCCCAAGCCATTGGGCCCTTGCACCCATGTGGGAGATCTGGAAGAAGCTCCTGGCTCCTGGCTTTGGGTCGGCACAGCTCTGGCTATTAATTGGGAAGTGAACCAGCAGATGGGAGACCTTTCTCTCTGCCTCTGCTCTCTCTGTGTAACTCTGACTTTCGAATAAGTAAATAAATAATAAATCTTTAAAAAAAATAAAAGGCAACAGTTGGACTGCCCAGCATTAGGACATTCCTCCGTCCCCATGCCAGGGGCAGACGTCACTCAGAAACAGAGGAGGTGCACTAAGAACTAGCAGCTGGGAGGCTGGGCTTGGGGTCGTCCCTCGGGCCAGTATTGTTACCCTCGTGCAGCGGGCAGCGGTCTTGTGTTGGAACTTGGGCTCAGTTTCTTTTGTGCTCAAGTGGGGTCATTGTAAAGCTGCCGATGGCTGCTCCCGTGGCCCCACTCATGGGGGTCCACAACTTGCTGGATGGCAGCGGCTGTCAGCCACTGAGCCCCATGGAAGAGCTACAGGCTGATTACAGATTGCACTGCTTCTGTGCTGTAGAATATTATGGTAGCCTGAGAGATGGAGATTTTAAACATGAGATAGTGGGCCCTGCCATTAGTACTCAAGTTTGCTAATACTACCATAGAAAGTACTTCCTAAGCAGCATCTGCTTTTTACATTTTTTGAAGATTTATTTATTTGAAAGGCAGAGTTAAAAGCAGAGAGAAGAGAGGGGTCCTCTGTCCACTGGTTCACTCCCCAAATGGCCGCAACAGCCAGACCTGCGCTGATCAGGAGCCAGGAGCTTCTTCCAGTCTCCCACGCGGGTGCAGAGCCCAAACACTTGGGCCACCTTTTACTGCTTTCCCAGGCCATAGCAGAGAGCTGGATCGGAAGTGGAGCACCCATGTGGGACGCCGGCACCGCAGGTGGCGCCTGTTTGTTGCCTTTCTGAGACTGTTCACTGTCCTTGGCACCAGCACGGAGCCGCCTTAGTCTGTGGTGATGCGCGAGTGTCCGCCACAGCAGAGTTGTGTGCTGGGTAACAGAAGAGGTGAGCCAGGTGGCACCTGTGGGCTCAGGAGCACAGATGTGCAATCCGGGGTCTCAGAGGCCCAGCCCCTCCTGCTGCTGCAGCACAAGGCCAGTGGCCATGACCGTATCCTGAACCGATAATGCATCGTGTCGCTCAGGGCCTCAGCTGGTCCTGAGGCGCTGCACCACCAGGCCACGAAGGGCCTGGGCCACGTGCGGTGGCGGTGGGGAATGTTGCCCAGCTTTTCCACGGGGTAGAATGAAGTTGGGACGTCCTGGTTGCTGTTGCAGGTAAAGATGAGTGGCCTGTCATCTAGACTGGGTGGGCTGGGCCCCCACCTAAGCTGTGCTGACCACAAGAGAAGCAGGACACGCACCCGCGGGGCCCCTGCAGCATCACATGGTTTTGGTTTTTATCAGAGTGCGTGTTGACAGTAGAAGCACTTCCCGATGCTGGCACAAGACCCCTGCTGGCCGTAGGAATTGTGAGCGGCTGTGTCCTGGCTGCCTGAGTTTTCCTTTGTGTTCTCTTGCTAACCTGCTGCATGTGTCTTCCCTCTTTCTAGTGGGCCAGGACTGCTACACAAGGATCTGGAGCCTGCACGATGGCCAGCTGCTCAGAACCATACCCTCCCCGTACCCCACCTCCAAGGCCGACATTCCCAGCGTGGCCTTCTCCTCCCGCCTCGGGGGCTTCCGCGGGGCGCCGGGGCTGCTCATGGCCGTCGGGCAGGACCTCTACTGCTTCTCCTACAGCTAGCCCAGCAGCACGCAGCCCGGAGGACCTTGGACTTGACTGAAAGAGTAAAGAGTGCTTTGCTTCCACTTCTGCTGAGGGTGTTGTACGTGACGCTGGGTGAATCTGGATCCCGTCCGCGCCTCTGCCAGGGCGCGGTGCTAAGTGTCTTGCGTGGAGACGGTTCCATGAGGATATTTCCGTTAAACTCGGGGCTCAGTGAGCTTGGAAGTCCTTTTCATAAAAGGTACTTGTTCCCTTTTCTTGTTGGATTCCTTAGAATAGTTCCCCTCACCATCTTTTGCTTGTTTTAACAGAAAAAAAAAAAAAAAGACTTTTTTTTTCTAAGAACTGAAGCTTGACAAAAGCTAAATTAAAAGACCCTTCTTTGACCAAGGAAGCCCTGTGTGGAAGCCTGACCATGACACTGATGATGCTGGCGAGACGGGTAGAGGGAGGGGGCCAGGGAGAGGGGGTCCCAGGGAGGGCGTGGGCAGCCCTGTGTGTCTACAGAGCCGTTGAAGGCTTTAGTCTGGAGTCGCTGGACTTGATCTTCCCAGCTCATCAGCAGATCTCGGGTTTCACTGCCCGCCATGGGTGCCGGAGGGCAGCTGGGTCTTTCCAAACGCTGCAAGTCGTGCGGGGTCCTTGGCGTGCGCTTGCGGCGGTGCCTTCCAGGATGTGAGCACAGCAGCTCCGGTTCCTGCCGGGCCGGCTTGCATGGCAGCACCCAGCCTCAGTGTTGTCGCTAGAGCAGCAGCGTGCGACGCTCGTGCAGGTGTGAAAGAACCTGTGTTTCTGCCACCAGCAAACTGGGAAGGACTGGCATGGCAAGTGGCTTTGGAGGAGAGGAGAGGCTGCGACCCGCTTTAACAGCCCCCCCAGGGGGCTTCCGGTGGCCCATGCAGACCCACTGTGACCGCTGGCCCCTAGCAGCCAGGTGGGTTCAGCGCACCACGCTGATCCGATGGCAGGAGCTAGGTACTTATCCTGGTCTCCCATGGGGTGCAGGGCCCAAGCACTTGGGCCATCCTCCACTGCACTCCCTGGCCACAGCAGAGAGCTGGACTGGAAGAGGAGCAACCGGGACAGAATCCGGCGCCCTGACCAGGACTAGAACCTGGGGTACCGGTCCGCAGGCGGAGGATTAGCCTAGTGAGCCACGGTGCTGGCCTATAATTTCTTATACAGAGATCCAAATAGAAAGCAAGGATAATGACAGATGAGCTCTGTGTAACGATTTTAATGTCACACTTGTAAGGAGCTTTCCCTAACCCTATTCATATTTGATCTTTCCAGCATCCCATAAAGAAGTGTGATGATAGTGGCGTAAAATGAGCATATTTACAGATTAGCCAGGGCCCAGAGACACCAAGTGACTTGCTTCTGAGGACAGCCCCATTAAGGGGAGGGCCGGAGTTGTCTGCTGCGTTTGCTCCCCTGGCCTGGTCACGCAGGCCTGGCATGGGGTCGCCACGCGGTGCCCTGGGGATTGCTGCAGGCCTGAGTGTGTGATGCCAGCATCTCGTGGGCAGGTGAGTTCTGGCGCTGGCCAGTGACAGAAGCTTGCTAACTTGGCCTGGAATTGTTTCGATTTTGTCTGACGACTCGGCCGTCTGACTTGTGCCTTGGTCGCCATCACTGCGGGGCATTTGGAGTAAGTGGTGACGTGCCACTGCCCGGAGCAGGCAAGCACAGGGAAGCTGGGCCCGCGTGACCCTCACACCCCACAGCTTCCTTTCCCAGCAGTCCCATTACCTGAAGACCATGCAGCACATTTGTTACGGGATCTGCACATCAGTGAGAGGCTCTCCCATGGTTCTGTCCGGACTCTGGGCTGAGAACTCACGGGTAACTGTCCTCCCTCCGGAGAGAATACTGGGAAGAGCTCTGACAACATGGCCCAGTCCTCAGGTACCTGTGCCACGCACGGATCAGATTTCTTGCCTAGGCAAAGTGGACATTTTAGATTTCCTTGAGGCTACCACAAACCTCTGAACTTTGCTGCCCGGGTAGCATCACAGCTGCGAACATTTGGTCTAGGTTCATGAAACATGGTTCCGGGTGGCTGAGAAGCTGAAGTATCTTGGTCCGCTGGCATATCCGTTCCCGTGGCCTCATAAAGATGAACACTGCATGGACGCGTTCTCACTTGCAGGTCCATTAGGGAATGAGTGGGTGACTGACAGTGGCACTGAGTGGTGCCACACCCCTGCACCCAGCCCAGTGCTGGCTTCTCGGGACCTTCTAAGTAGACATACGACCAATAGTTAACACACCAGCCCTCGTCGCTGAGTCGCCCCAGAATTCTGCCAGCCCAGCATGCTGTCAAAGGCACGGCCCCTGCCGCGGCCCCCAGCACGGAGCCCTGGAAGTGTCCTTTGTCTGCGGCCCGGTCAGCTGCACATCTGTCCTGGTTTAAAATGTTCACCAAACCACCTCCAAAAACCACTTCAGACTGAATCTAGTTTCCTCCGTTTCTCCATTAACTAAAAGCTGCCGACCGTCTTCCCTAAATCTGTGCGGAGAAATCTGTCCAGATTGCTGCTGTCAGTGCTTCCCCGTGCCCTGTGTGCCTCTTGTGTTGGATCGCACGCACTACTGCCTCCCCCTGGCGCTTGGAGGACACAGTAATGAGTTTTACCTACCCAAACACAACCTCGTCTAGGCCTGGCTTAACACATCCCTCCTTTTAATCTGGAAAAATGCAGAAGGTAAGTAAGGCCCAGCTTAAAAGGTTTCTTCAGGAAGTGTGGCTCCACCCCCCCCCCCCACTCCACCCCAAACCCGACAAAGCTGGAGCCAAAGTGGCAGGGGGTGACTCCATCCCAGATTTCTGAGCAGGGGTTTAACTTCACCATGCAGGTGGGGGCCGTTGCTGTGGCACAGCTGGTAAAGCCACCACTTGCAATGCCGGCATCCCACATGAGTACTGGTTCGAGTCCCAACTGCTCCACTTCCAATCCAGCTCTCTGCTATGGCCTGGGAAAGCAATGGAAGATGGCCCAAGTGCTTGGGCTCTGCACCTACAGTAAGAGACCCAGAGGAGGCTCCTGGCTTTGGATCAGCCCAGCTACAGCCATTAGTGGCCATCTGGGGAGTGAACCAGCAGATGGAAGGCCTCTCTAACTCTGCCTCTCTAACTCTGACTTTCAAATAATTACTAAATCCTTAAAAGCTTTTTTGGTGTGCAAGTTAAGCTGCCACCCGCAACACCACCGTCCCATATCAGAGTGCCAGTTCAAGTCCACACTGAAAAGACTCGGGAGCTTCCATCTGCTGGTTCACTCGTCAAAGGCATGCAGTAATCAGGCCGGGGCCAGACCGGAGCCAGGAGCCAGGAACTCCATTCTGGTCTCTTGCATGGGTACCCAGGCCCCAGGTACTTCCGCCATTTCTCCTGCTTCCCAGTGCATTAGCACGGACTAGACTGGAAGCACTGCAGTTGGAACTCGAGTTCAGTGTGGGCTGCCTGCGTCACAAGCAGCAGCTTAACCCACTGCGCCAGCGCACCAGCCCTCGTGGGTAAATCTGTTAACCAAAGGGTGCAGTGGGCCCGGTTGCGCAGGATTCGGTGTTCACATCTACGATAATTTCTGTCCCAGCTACAGCTGACTGGAAAGCTACTACCAGGGGTTCAGTTTTTCTCCCCAAATGATGTTTCTAAAATTCAAAATGAAAACATGGCAGGTTGTAAAATTACCATTATATCAGATTTTTCCTTGACCAGTTGGAAGCGTGGCTTTTGTATTAGAGGGTAGACCAGGTGCTCAGCTGCCTAGTGTAGTATTGCTGGCCTGGGTCATGAGACTCGAAGAAATGATCACCCAGGAAGGAAAGCCTGCACAACATCCTCTAGAGGAAAAACACCTTCCCTAGAATGCAGAATAACTCACAACCTGTGAGGGGAGGGGCAGCTGCAGGGAGTGGTGTGGGAGGCAGGGCACACGCTCCTTGGCTCCAGTCCTGCTGGGCCCTGGCACCACCCTCAAGTCTAGTCCACCAGGGGCTTTGCTGCGTTAAACCACCTACGTGGTTGTGAGGGTTCCCAGCCTTTTTTTTTTTTTTTTTTTTTTTTTTTTTTTTGGCAGGTAGAGTTATACACAGAGAGAAAGGTCTTCCTTCCGTTGGTTCACCCCCTAAATGGCCACCATGGCCGGAACTACACGAATCTGAAGCCAGGAGCCAGGGGCTTCTTCCTGGTCTCCCATGCAGGAAGCCCAAGCACTGCCCTTCCGGGCCACAGCGGAGAGCTGGACTGGAAGAGGAGCAGCCGGGACTAGAACTGGAGCCCATATGGTTCGCCAGCGCCACAGGCAGAGGATTAACCAAGTGACCCCCAGCGCCAGCTCCCGCAGCCACATCTAAAGCTGCTAACACAATACCGGGCAGTATGACAGGCAGGGAAGTGCTGGTTCTTTCCATGTCTCCATTCCAACGTAAGTCATGCCAGCCGAGTTATACCCAAGGATGTGTAAGGGGCTCAGCGGGTCCCAACGCTACATGCAACCATCCCCACCGTCCTAGAGCGAGTGGGTGGGTTCCCCCCACACGCACCTCATTTTATTTGAAAGGCAGCATCTCCCATCCACTGGTTCACTTCCCAAATGCCCAGCACAGCTAGGGCTGGGCCAGGCTGTAGCAGGAGCCCAGAACTCCATCTGGGTCTACTATGTCGGTGACAGAGACAGTACCTGAGCCATCACCTCAAAGCAGAGGAGCCAGGACTCGATCCAGGCACTCCAATAGGGACACATCATTCCTAAGTGCAACATAAGCTACTGTGCTAAGTGCCTGCCCCGTTTCCTACCTTTGAAGGTGGCACTTCCACCTTCATTTCCTCTCCCCTGCCTGCCTGCCCACCTTCTGCCAGCCACCCCCCCATCCTCGCTTGGGCCACTGCAGTCTGGGCTTGGTCCCTCCCTGCTTCCACCTCTTCAGTTGAACCAACCTGCACATCTCAGCTCGGCTGGTTTTCGCAACACCAGCATCCAGATGCAGAAACCAAACCTGGCACCTCGGGAACTCCTGGGCCGCCTCGACCAGTTCTAACCACTCGCTCACACCCAGCAGCACAAGTAAGCCTCCCCAC